GCACCTATAGCAGCAGCCTGGTTGGTTTCCTCCGAGGATCTCCTTAAAGCCCAAAAAAAAAAAAAAAAAAGAGCAGCAGCCTCAATGCCCGAGTCAGGCGGAACACACAGGTAACAGTCACCCTCATCACTAGTAGACACAACATACATGGCAGCAAGAATAGCATCATAATCCAGATCAAAGATAACAACCCCCAACCTAAGCAGCTCTCCCCAGCGAGGGATCTCAGTGGCGTCAGGGAATTGGAGACGCCAGGCGTCTGTCAGGCGGTCGAAGCAGTGCTGGGTTGTGTGCGGGCCACCGCGCGGCTCACTAGTGCGGTCGCCGGTACGAAGGACGTAGGCATAGGGACCAGCACCCCCACCCCGTTGACGCGTAGCGTACCACTCACGAAGCTGCTGGGGGGGGCGGGGTCTCACGAGTGCGCTGCTGCTGCTGGCGCTGACCACCACCAAAGCCGCCCCGCTGCACAGAGCCACCCCGACCAGCTCCACCGCCGCCGCCGCCACCGCCGCTACTGCCGCCTCCTCCGCTCCCACCACCACTGCCGCCGCCGCCTCCGCCTCCACCGCCGCCACCGAAGCCCCCACCCCTGCCACCACTCCCACCGCCACCCCCACTCCCTCCGCTGCCTCCTCCGCCACCTCCACCGCCACCTCCACCGCCCCCGCCAGCTCCTCCAGCGCCCTTACCCCCCTTGCCCTTGCCGTTGCGTTGTCTCCCGCTAGGGGCAGACGCAGCGCCGACTGACTCGGTGCTAACGAGGTCGACCGCAGCAGCAGAGGCAACAGAGGTCAAAAGGGGGGAGGGGGAGCACCCCTCAAAGAAGGGGGCACGGGGGTCACCACGAGAGGCTCCTACAGCGACTATACTTTTCTCAGCTGCCACGAGGTACTCGTCGAGGAGGTCAACGGTGAGTGTGGTGGGGCAAACAGAGAGGAAGTGGTCCCTGACCGAGCGAAGGGAGTCAGGGAGCCGGGTGACTAGGTAGTAGAGGGTGATGTACATGGGGGGGGGGGGGGGGGGGGGGGGGGGGGGGGGTTCTTGGCGCAGAACTCAGCAGGAAGCGCAGCGCGGTAGTGGGTGTCTTTCGTGCGAAGGTGCGTAATGAGGTCAGCGACCGTGGGAAAGGTGGCGAGGTCAGGGAACAGGTACGGCAGCATGAGGCGACTAAGGGCAGCAGTGGCAGGGGAAGAGTAGCGTGCAACTACAGAGGCGTACAAGGTCTTAGCACTCTTGTACTGACTAAAGTGCGCGCGCTCAGGCGACGGCAAGTGACTACGCACAGCAAGACGGGCAGCAGTATCGCGTGTGGCCCATTGTGAGCGAACAAAACTGTCAGTATCGGCAGCAGGGGCAGCAGAGGCGCCAGACGTGAGATCGAACAGTGAGAGACCATCTTTTCTATCGCACTGCAGGAAAAGCTGCAGATCATCGACCCAGACCTCAAAGTCGACAGCTCGACCCTCAGAATGAAAGGTGAGAACACTAGGGGTGGCCATGAAAGCAGCAGCAGCAAGCTAGCAGTGGCAGCAGCAGGCTAGGAGCAGCTCAGCAGGAGAGGCGCGGCTCGGCGGTGCTCTTACCAGGGGCGGGTGGGTAGAGGGCCGCAACCGGTGGGGCAGGGCGGATGCGCGCCGGCAGGGACAGGGCCGCGACAGGGCGACAGAGGAGTGCCACGCCTAAGCTGCAGGGCAGCCGCAGTGGCGGTTGTCTCAGCAGGAGCGGCGGCGGCTGTCACGGCAGCAGCGGCGGCGGCGACCGGTCGTAGAAGAAGCAGCAGCGGCAGCAGGCGCGACGGCAGCTGCTGCTGGGGCGGCGACGGCGGGGCGGCAGGGCCGTGAAGAGCCGGGGAGGGGCCGCGAAGGGGCCGCGTTGAGCCGCGAAGGAGCCGCGGAGGGGCCGTGGAGGAGCCGCGACGGGCCGCGAAGGGCCGCGGTGAGGCCGCGACGGGGGCCGCTAATGGCGGCGAAGGGGCCGAGAAGGGGCCACGAGGGGCCATGAAGAGGCCGCGAAGGGCGGCGACGGGGCCGAGAAGGGGCCACGAGGGGCGGTGAAGGGGCCGCGAAGGGCGGCGACGGGGCCAAGAAGGGGCCGCGAAGGGCGGCGACGGGGCCGAGAAGGGGCCGCGAGGGGCCGCGAAGAGCGGCGAAGGGGCCGCGAGGGGCCGCGAGGGGCCGCGAGGGGCCACGAAGGGTCGTGAGAGGGGCCACGAAGGGCCGTGGAGGGGCCGCGAGGGAGCCGCGAAGGGGCCGCGAAGGGCCGTGAGAGGGGCCGCGAAGGGGCCTTAGGAGGGCGCGACGGGCCGCTAAGGGCAGGGGACGCGACAGGAGGGCAGGCGCACGGGGCGCGACTAGGGCAGGCGCGAAGCGCGCTCCGGGCAAGTAAAAAAAAAAATCGTTTTAGTGGTGGGCCCTAGGAAACGTTCCCACTAGGGAACCTGCTCTATACCATGTGAAAATAATGAGAAATGAATCAACTAGAAAAGTGTGTGCTACAAATATGAAACCCTAGAAACCTGTACCCCTTAGTGTCTACCCTACTAGAACCTACAAACACTATGTCATATATATCTGACATCGTCTAGAGACACTTCTGTAAGCGATGTGGTGGAAGTGAAGTCGCCGACACGGCATTTAACCCGCTCCAACTTTTGTGTGCCTCCAAATAAATGGGCCAATGTGTGCCCAGTATTTGCTAACACACTGATGCGAAAGCGGATACCAGACTGCCAGAACTGGATTTCGATATGCACGCTGACCATGAATGACAGTATGATCTCAACGATGACCGTGAAGGAAGCGCTGGCGAGTTGGAAGGGAAAGGCGGTGAAAGCAACAATAGATGAGGAGATGCATAGCCGCCTCGCCAACGGAACATGGGAGCTGGTGCCTCGACAGCGCGGCGTCAATGTCATGAACAACCGGTGGTTCCTTATAACAAAGTACAACGCCGACGGTATGGTCGCTCGCGAGAAGGCACGGCTCGTCGTGAAGGGATTTACGCAGATTTATGGTGCGGATTACGATGAGACGTATTCCCCGGTTGGAAGCTACGTCACACTGCGTATTTTCCTCTCCATCATCGCGGCATTCGATCTGCATATCATGCAACTGGACATGAAAAACGCATGTCTATACAGCAAACTAGATCGAGTTCTGTACATGGAGCAGCCATCGCACTACAACGGTGGTGCACCTTGCGTTTGCAAGCTTCTGAAAAGCTTGTACGGACTCAAGTCCACTGTTGTGGTATTCGGCTCCCGACAGCGTACTCCGGAGGCGGATGGAGTAAGAGTCAAGTGGACGAAGCTCTCTACTTCAAGCTCTCTACGTTGACGACTTGCTCGCCACGAGTAGCAGCCTCGGAATGCTGAAGGGCCTGCGTGACTTTTGCAAAACACATTCGAGCTACGGAAATCTCCTATGTGCAGAGGTATTTAGGGCTAGAGATTGTGCGCGACAAGTCTATACGAAACATGTGGATGCACCAAAGTGCATACGTGGTCAAGTTGCGTCCTCGTTTTGTGGACGAAGAGCTGACATGCCATCGACCGAAATCGCCTATCTTGGTCGATGCGTATAGCGAGCTGACATTCGATGACGAGGAGTACCAAGCTCGTGAAAAGGAAGAGTATCGCCAAAAAGTGGGTTCGCTCCAGTTTTCCGCGACCACGACCCAACCCAACATTGCATACATACGCAAAAAGTTGGAGCTGGACGTATGCCGAACTAAACTACATCGTTAATCAGATATGCAAAACGAATTGATAGAGGACCTTTATGATAGAATGACAAATTTGCATGCGTATGTAGGTTTTTTTTTTTCACAAAAAAACTTAAATACAGCGAAAGGCCCTATTTGAAATTGGGAGAGGGGCAAGATTAAGCAGGACCCTAAAGGAATAACCCAGAATGTTAAGTGAAACAAGAAAGAATGCCCTTCAATTTTCAGCCCTTTTGTGGTGTGCATAAGGCGAATTCGGACGACTGCGACATCTAAGGGCGTGTCCCATGAGTTCATTTGGGGAGAAAATCATAATTTTTACGTAACTTCGACAAAGCAAAAGAGTGTACACTCTGACGTGAAAAACACGCAGCGCGTCAGCACTGCGCCAAACGAAATTGACCCACGCTGACTCATAGCCCCACCCACACAAAAATCGTCATCCGAACATGGGCCGCGAGCGGTAACCCGCCACAGTGCGAATCAACTGTGCCCCTTGCGAAATTTAGTTTTTTCTTTGAGCGACTGAATGTGCGCGAATTCTCCGATTGGGGTAACGGGATGGAGGACCCGGTACGAAGTGATCTCACGTACCTTGTACGTGGGATAGTACGAACATCTTGACGTCCTAGGCGTGTCATCCGGTGCGTCATTGAAAACGCATGTCATGCAGGCAAGGGGTACATACGGGAAACAGGGTTACAACACTGAACTTGAACTGTAAACGAACTCGTGGGACACGCCCTAAGAAGAAATCTCAGCTGCACAAATTGTATACATAGGGTACATTCTTGTCTCGTGTCTGACATCAAGTCATCCGCCCTTGGAGGCTCGGAAGACACGAAGTGGCTCGAAATAGGGGCAAATCAACATGGGAAGAGGCGAATTAGAGACTAAGGGCGGATGACCTGATGTCAGACACGAGGCAAGAATGTACCCATAGTCAACCCGATGCCAGATTATCAATGGATGGTCAGTTGTGAGGTCCCAGATCGAAACGCAGCAAATAACCACAGAGAACGTCACGACAAAAAGCTTGACGAAATGTGATCGCGTTCTACTTGATGTGACGACACGGCCCATTGACGATCCTGGATTTCCGCACGACAGTGGTCCTATCACGCCCTCAAACATGTGATCCGATCAATATTTCAACCCCCTTCGTTCACTCAATCTTTTTCATTCGAAGTTGAGAGACATTTCTCTCACTTGTAGCGGGAGGGGGATTTATTAGTTATGCTGGACTTTTGACTTTCGAAACCCCGTCTTCCGAGATGGCTGCTTATCAGATCGCCGTCGTTGCACTCCTCCTCGGCCTCGCACTACCCTTCGTTCTCGCGGGCAATGCCAAGGGAGCAGAAACATCCTCCCAGTCGAACTACAACTACGATGCGAACGGCAACATCATCCTTTCCACCGCAGGCAACAACAACCAAAACGGCAACGGCAAAGGCACATCGGCTGACGTCATCGACTGGTACAACGACCAGGAGTATCCGACGTGTCCGCTCAAGGCGTGCCCCCCTTTCAAGCACTACTGCTCTGGCGGCATGTGCAACGACACTGCCGGAATCCTCGGCCGTTGGAGGGTGAGTGCCGGATTTAATCTCTCAGACGCCGCTCATTATGAGCGCGGCTCTTTCTTGCCAAAATTCTGAACGGTCACGTTGCTAGTACTATGCATGACGTTTGATTCGAATCTCGCCAGTGCGTCGCTCAAAACGGCTGGTTTAACGACTGTCCCGGCCAGCCTTGTCTCTTATCGCTGTTCAACTAGCTCGTCATTACTAATGATGGTTGCAGTTGCCGCATATTTGAGTTTGACTCAGATCCGATGTTTCCCCCGTCGCCGCTTTGATCCGCGCAGCTCCCCGAGCAGTCGTCGCTCGTGTGCCCACCGGGGCGCGCCAACCCGAAGCCCAACAACGACTGGTGCGTCGCGGAGCTCACACCGTCGCAGTGCTGCAAGGCGTGCTCCGAGAGCAAGGAGTCGTGCGCCATGTGGCAGCACTACATTGGGTGAGCGATCTTGCGTAAATTCCCCCCACCTACTCCGTTTCGCTTCGCAAATTTCCCCCACCTGCTTTGTGTCCCTTCCTCAGATACTTCGCTTTTTTTCGGATAAGAGTTCTCAGTCTGAAGCCATAATTTTCTTTTGTTTCCTTTTTTTTTCAATTTCATGAATCCCTCTGGCAAGTGCCTCAAGTGCGGCATCTGCTGGCTCTACCCGCCCGGCACGGCGCCGCGTTGCGAAACGCAGCTGGACAACAACAACGGCTACCGCATCAAGTACAACTCCTCGCGCATCGGCGGCAGCTGCCCATACACCAAGAACGACCCGCATTTCCAGGGCGCGCAGGGTACGCGATTTGAGTTCAACGCCGCTCCGAAGAAGACGTTCTGCTTGCTGACGGACCGCAACGTGCACGTGAACATGCAGATGCGCGGGTACCACGACACGCGCACCGTCGGCGCGACGGTTCTGCGCGACGGGAAGGCGGTGCGCCATGGATCCGCGCGCTCGGGTTCGTGTGGCGCGTGGCGACGGGGGAGGCAGAGCACAAGTTCCGCGTGGTGGCGCGCGCGGGGAAGCAGCAGGAGCGTGGGGACGGGTTCCTTTCGTTGGCGGAAATGGACGGGGAAGCCTTTCCGCGGATGACCCAGCCAGGCGAGGCGCTCTCTCTCCCCGGAGGCCTCACGTTCACGTTCGTCGAGATTGGAACCGGCGGCGTGTTCGTTAAGGACGTGTACCGTGTGACTATTACGGGGCTTCTAGAGATGAAGATCAAGCTGTGCGTCGCGCACCCTCTGTTGCAAACACCTGAGGACGCGGAGACGCACATCAAGGTGGCGTTCGATGCCGTCGAAGCGACCAATCAAGTGCATGGAATCATGGGGCAGGCGTACCGCGAGTGTGAGAGTACGACGGCTTATGCCAGCTATGCTTGCTTGCCTTTACTTTATTATGCTATTTCTAGCATAGGATAATTATATGCATACATGAATTGCTTGTTTTCCTAGGCTAGGTGCTTTCCTATACCGAGCTAGGTTGCGTGCACCGAATTCTGGTTTTTCGGTTGCCACCGAATTGCCTTCTACCGAATTCGGGAAGGATCTATTCGGGACGCTTCGCGACCCGCGGAACCTTCGCGTAACACCTGGTTACGGGGTCTTGTGTCGAGCCTATATATAGCCTCGTGTTGTACCCAGGTGATTATTCAATTACAATTCTCTTTTCTGAGCTCGATCCTAGATCCTCACAGCGAGGGGCAGGCGAAACGCGCTATGGATTACAACACGCTCGCTCACGCGCTGGGGCGGCCCGTCGCGGCGGATGCGGCGGAGGGAGCGGGGTTCCTGGATGGGGAGACGGCGGATTACGAGTCTACTTCGGTGCTCGCTGCGGACTGCCGCTTCTCCGCGTTCCACGGCAAGGCGCTTCTCCTTCCCCGCACTCAGTAGAAACGCCCCAGATGGTCGCGGTCAGGCTGGCTTGGTTGTCCCCATGTCAATTCGTGGTGTTGTACCCGACTTTAGCTGCTCCGATTCTCTTCCGGTGTATTTGCCAAAGGGCCAAATCTCCGTGGCTCAATAATGCCCCATCATTTGGGAGGAGTCCTCCCTGTGTGGGTTGTATTGTAGTGGTGGTGGGCTGTGCTTGTCAGTTTGTACCAGGGTCGTCGCTAGGATTTGAGGGCATCTCATGCATCAGACGTGCCCGAAGGGCCCGTCTGATTTATCAGATTCTGTTTTTTACCGTGTCTGATGTATCAGATATTTTCGAAATGCATGTCTGACCAATCGAATGGGCAATTGATTCGGACTTGACCAGTCACAGCAAAATCACCCCCTCACAGCAAATTCGGTCCGTCACAGCAGATTCGCCGTCACCCTGACACAGCAGATTCGTCCCGTCACAACAATTTCGCCCCTGACACTAGCAGATTCGCCCCCTGACACTAACAGATTCGCCCCCTGACACTAAGATTCGCCTCCTGACGCATCAGATTCGCCCATTCACAACGCGAATCCCATATTCACCCCTACATAATTGGATTCGGTATCAGATGAAACCAAAACAAGAACCTGATTGATCAGATAAACTCAAAAACTACTCCTTATCAATCAGAAATTACAAAAACCAATTTCTGAAAAATCAGATGAACGATAAAAAATCGATCTGAATGTAAGACAAACAGAAAAAAAATAAAAAAATCTGCTAGCGACGAACCTAGTTTGTACTCTTGATGGGTCTCGGTTTCAGAATGGGCTTTTTACCGAATTCCTTCATTCTTTATTCTTGGTGGGCTGCTTGTTGATCCAATTCTTGGTGAGCTGCTTGTTGATTCATGCCTTCAGATATATACGGTACCTCTGCCAAAGTTCTGGGTACTCCCGTACGTTTTACCTGCCGGGAGCTGGGTGGCTGAATTTGTCTTGATGAGTTGGCTCTTAACGAAAGTACACATCTCATAACATTCCCTTCACCTTTTGATGACAAAAATAATACGCATTTAGGTAATCTACAATGTTCACAATACATATAGTTCAGCATTTAGCCCTATGTTCGGAGAAACTGCCTACATACCTCACATCGGAAACTGTATACCAGCAGCTGTAAATTATACCCGCTACCATATTACCACAACTACATACCATACTACCAGCAACTTCATACCATACCCAGACTACATCGATACTCAAAACTACGACCTCACTTTATTGCTGCAACATCTACAGCCCAGTGGCTGACCTCCCACACCCCATCCCCGAGCAACGCATCCCACAAGACAAGTGACAAGTCCATATCTGTGTCGCCTATAACATGATCCATTATAAGCAGATGGAAGATTCACCCCATCCAGCAGGCAAGTAGCCCTCCACACCTCCTAACCAAGGTTCAGGACTGCAGCCCACCAGGAGTGCTTCAGATCAGATCAGAGCCTGACTCAGAATTGGAAAGCTGACCTCTTTTCTCATTCTCCCCATCAAGTCCCCCCTTCGCCCCTTCCCCCATTCAACCCGTCAATCGACTTCTGTCAGATCTGACATTCTCCCCGTTGGCAAATGCTATTTCCCACACTGCTAAGTGCGCTCCTCCTCCCGGCAAAGGGAAACAGTGCCTCCAGGCTCCTCTCCCGTTGCATCACTTCCTTTCACTGAAGGCCTTCCGGGCAGAGATTGAAATGCAAAAACAACTCCCTGCCCGTCAGAAATGCTTTTCCACAAAGGAGAAGAGCGCCTCCAGGTTCCTCCTCCCCCTGTGTGTCGCAACGGGCCTCTCCCCATTGAACAGCATGAGTGTGGGGAAGCCTGGGATCTTGTACTTGTCCGTCAACTCAGGGTATCTGTATGCATCCACTCGAGCAACCTGGTGATTGAGGGCGGAAAGGGGTGGATTGATTTGAGAATCTAGGTGCCAAGCAATCACTCTCTCCGTTGAACAGCATGAGCGTGGGGAAGCCTGGAATCTTGTACTTGTCCGTCAACTCAGGGTATCTGTATGCATCCACTCGAGCAACCTGGTGATTGAGGGCGGAAAGGGGTGGATTGATTTATGAATCTAGGTGCCAAGAAATCACTCTCTCCGTTGAACAGCATGAGCGTGGGGAAGCCTGGAATCTTGTACTTGTCCGTCAACTCAGGGTATCTGTATGCATCCACTCGAGCAAGCATGCATCCTATTCGAGCCATACCCCATTTTCCACCTGGCCATACCACCAGAGACGCCCATGTCCCCTGTCTAAACTGCAGCCTGCACAACAGCATGCACAGCAGCCTGCACAGCAGCCTGCACAGCAACGCATACCTTGTACCCTCAGTCGCTGCACCACTCCTCATAACATCCCTTGCGCACCCCACCCCCTCCCCCACTCTCTCCCCCCCCCCCCCCCCCCCCACCCTCCCCCCCTTCTTCTCTCCCTCTCCCCTCCCACCTGCACGTTGAAGCTCTCCTGGTGCAGCTTCTCCGCTATAGCCGCCCATGCCGCCTGCACCGAGCCATACTTTTGAGACGTCTCAAAAGCCGCTATAGCCGCCCATGCCGTCTGCAGCATGCAGCCTACCACACGCACGCCACCTGCACCGAGCCATACCACTCCCAACCCCCTCACCTGCACGTTGAAGCTCTCCTGATGAAGCTTCTCCGCCAGAGCCGCCCATGCGGCCTCCATGCGCTGGCAGTAGGGGCACCAGGGCGCGTAGAACATGACCAGGGTGGGCCTGGGGACGGGAGAAACGCAGGACGGAGGGAAGAAGAAGGGAAGAAAGGGTGAAAGGGAGTGGGAAGGGAGTGCAGGCACAGGAACAGCAGCACTGAGCATCCATGCTTTGAGACGTCTCAAAACAAGGGAGTGCAGGCACAGGAACAGCAGCACTGAGCGAGCGCCCATGCGCTGACAGTAGGGGCAGCAGGGCGCGTAGAACATGGCGAGCGTGGGCCTGGCGAGGGGAGACGCATGGGAGGGAGTGTAAAGGGAGAGAGGAAAGGCACAGAGACCACCGCACTGAGTGATCATGCCACCCTGCAGCCTCCATGCGCTGGCGGTAGGGGCAGCAGGGCGGGTAGAACATGACGAGGGTGGGCCTGGCGAGGGGAGACTGCACAGGAGGGAGGGGAAGAGGAAGTGGAGATACGCAGAAGGGCTGTGCTCCCATGCCACGTGATGGAAATAGTGGTATGAGACGTCTCAAAACACTACTTCTATCACGTGCTCCCATGCCGTCATGCAGCCTCCATGCGCTGACAGTAGCGGCACTGGGGGGCTGGAGCACGATCAAATTGGGCATAGGGTGTGACGCCTGACATCAAGAAAGAACACCTGAGAGCACCTGAGAACATCTGAGAGCATCTGAAAACACCTGAAAGGTCTGGAGAGCACCCGCGTATACCTGGACGCGAATCGACTCGATCCAAAAGCACTTGAGAGTTTCTCTGTGTTGCCTGGGAGCACCTGAGAGCACCTGAGGTCACCCTCAGATCACCCTGAGATCACCTGAGAGCACCTGAAATCACCTGATATCACCTGAGAATACCTGGAATCATCTAAGAGCTCACCTGAGATCATCTGAAAGCTCACCTGAGCCGCAGCACGTGGGGCAGAGTGGCTGCAGACAGTTCGATCACTCCTGGCTTCGCCTCCCTCCTGGTCGACGCAAAGTACAGAATGGCACAACAACACAAACCAAATGCGGGACTTGGAGAATGAGCAAACAACTTGGAACGAACAATGGGGAGAGAAGACACCTAAACAATGAAGCACACCAGGGACCGTGAAAGACGGCGCCCACTCATGTAAAAACCAGCAGCAACGTCTTTCAACACTTACAGGTAGAAAGGAACCTTCTTTCCGGTTTCTCCGACCCCCACCATTTGCTCCTCCCCTAACACCATCACTGGCGCCGCGGCCGCATCGCCGCCTGCCAGAAGATCCCCGCTAAGAACCGACCCGCTAGCAGCAGCAGCTTCGTTAAGAACAACCCCGCTAACAGCCCTCCCGCCAGGGGCTACAACGGCGGACATATTCCGTCCCAGTCCGAGCCTCCCACCAGTCGCGCTGGTGACAAGAGCCATGGCAAAGCCAATAGCCGCAGCGCCAATCCCAAGCCCCAAGATCCATTCCTCCCACGACCACGTCAACCTAAGCGCCGTCATTCGCGGAGGCAGCAATCCCCCTAAAGTCGCGTCGCGTCCCACCCTACTCGATCCTGACAACTCGGCGCTTTTCCCAATAGCGTTTTCTTCCGGCGATCCTGGCAATCCTGGCGACCCAGCACCATCTCTAGAAACGACGTTCGCTTCAGCCGATGGATTATTAGAAGCTGGGATGAGTGAAAGGGAGGCTGTGGGGGAGCCAGAGAGACTATTTTGTGGTGCTAGGGTTTCGGAAAGGATGCGGAGCGCGTCGGGGTTGTATCTCGAACCCTCGGCAGCTGCTGCTCCTGCTGGGGCTGCGTCGCTTGCGACAGGAGAATGGCGAATGGCGAAATGAGCTGGGGTGGACTCGCGAGCTCTAATCATAGCAAAACTTTCGGCATTTGTTCCTGCTGCTGGTGCTCCTGCTAGGGTTCCTCCAGCTGCTGCAGTTCCTTCCTGCGCGGCTGCGATTGCTTTCTGCGCTGCTGCGGTCGGATACCGAAAATAAGGTCGCTCTTGATCGTCGAGTCCTGGGAGCTCCTCATCCGCCAGCGCTGGCTGCGCTCCTGAGAACGCGTTTGGCATCCACACCAACGAGTTCTGCGATCAGGTGCAACCAAGGACGATTATGTATTTAAGAGGCCGAGAAAAAAAAAGGGCTATTCTGTGAAAACATGTATTACGCCTCGAGACGTCAATATGAATAATGTCGAGGCTATACGGGGAACATAAACTCAAGGAAGGACCTTCAACTACAGCTTGCGACGTAAGGACGAAAGCGTCCGAGTTCTCGCGTCGTAACTTCGCGAAATGCGCAGCTCGAGGATAAACGAACGAACCTGATTGTCCACCTCGGCACCGTTGGGCCAAACTCGCCTTCGCGAATCAGCCGCGAACATACCGCTCCATTCCTCCGGGTTCTCGCCTCTAACTTTTCCCGAGCCTCCACGAACCGCGTTTTTAGTGGCCAGCAACGCGTGACCTAGACGAGGAAATGCACCCGGCCCTACTTGCCTACTCGGAAGAGGAGCTAAGCTCCTCATCATAAAAAACAACCAATCACGCGAACGCTTGGAGTGGGAAGGAGTGATCGAGGAGAACAGAGTCGAGAAAACCTAATAAGGAAAGCAAAAAATGGGAATGAAGAAACACGGAGAACCCCGCTGAATAATGAGAAACTGGAGACGCGGCAAGCCCTAGAGTCACTTGCACAAGAAGCCTTATGATGAAGGCAAATTTTCCTATTGCCTACTGAATATCATGTATCAGTTCACACATAACCCTTATGAGTCGATCAGGAATGTACACTAGTGGCTCTGCCACCAAAACTGTGTGGGACGAACGACCTTATGAGATGCCCGAAAAGAGAGCCCCAGACAAAACCAGCACAGTTTCGAGACCAGCTCCTTACCCCTGATTGGTTATAAACACGCCGCGAGCTGTGCTGGCGTGGATATCGGTGGAGGACCAGAAGTGTGAGGCTCCAGCAAATCAGGAGATCTCCGTTATTTGCAAGTTACGTTTCAGCTGAAAACCAAAATAGAGTACAATTGACATAGCCTTTTCCGTATTCCGCTATAGCTAGCACCTAAAAGAACTTGGCATAATCATACTTACGTGCCACGTTCACCTACGCTTATCTCCTACACCGCAGGTGCAACAAGAAACCATACAGACGCCATGCCAGCACCATGTTGCGGATAACAGGCATGTCTCATGCCCACGCAGCGTCAATGATGGCGGGACTAGCAGAACTCGAATTTATTATGAATTTCCACTCGTAGTCCTCGCTCTCAAGGAGTCTTCAAATTCGAAAGTCGTACTCCGAAGAGGTTTTCTTGCCCCAAGTTCGTTCCTTTCTATGGCAACCATGGCTGCCGCCGCCATGGCTTCGTCATTTCCCGAAATTTTAACCGTGCCGAAAGCCATTTCGTCCACCGTTTGCGCCAGAGTCTCCCCTAGAATCCCATCCGTTAGAATCACCCGCCGACCCTCGCAGCGCATTCACAGCGCATCAAACGGCGATAGGAACGTTTCAATAGCGGCGTCCGAAGCAGCCGAGCGACGCGAGGCGAGATTGAGGGAGCTTATAGCAGAGCAGATGGCGCAAGTGGAGGAGGAGGAGAAGCCGTACAGATTCGTGGACGGACGGAAGTACTATCTAGATGAGCTGGACATCCCGGGATTCCTGGACGGCTCGCGGTATTTACGGCCATCGGATCCAGAAACTTACAATCCGGCAGTATTCCTCTGGTGAGCATTTCGATCGAGGCTTCTATTATCGAGTATGAGGTTCTGTGTTATCCAAATTTGTTGTACATATGTATTGTTCCATACAAAGACAAAATCTTTTTTATTTGCTAGTAAGAGTCAGCTTTGCTCAGTTTGGCTCGTTCCCCCTCGTTATGCAAAACTTTCTCGTTTGCGTTCCTCTATTACTCCCCTCCCCGTATTCTCCCTTCGGTTCTGCCGCGCTCTGATTGGCTGCAGGAAGAAGATTGGCGACATTCCCGAAGAGAGGCGCCACAGGCTGCTGGGCCTGCTAAAACCGCAGTCAGTACACTCTTTTTTTTTCTTTTTTCTTTTTCCGCATTCCATAACCTACTCACTTCACCTATCAGTCTCCTGGACCTGCTCAGACCCCAGTCAGTACACCTCCTTTCCATTGCATTGCAATATCATAGTCAGTAAACTTTGTTGATCTTGCATTTCATAACCGTGTGGACCCCGTGACCCAACCCAACCACTTCCCACCCCCTCCTCCCCTCCCTTTCGCGCTCTATGCTGCTATGCTATTCTCACATCATCCTCGCGATTGTGGGATAAGGTTGACCCTTTTCCTCCCCTCTCCCATGCTCACCTAACCCTTTTCCCGTTGGAACAGCAACCACCCACCCCCCCGTTCCCCCCGTTCCCCCTTCCCCCATTCCCCCCGTTCCCCCCGTTCCCCCCGTTCGTCCTTCCTACATTCCCCCCGTTTCCCCGTTCCTCCCCACTTCCCCGCCTTTCCTCTCTCCCTATTTCCCTCGCCCCTCCCCTCCCGCCTTTTACCCCCTTTTTCCCGTTATAGTCACATCACCCTCATGTGGGACGCGGCTGGCAATCGCTTTCAGCTGGAGCAGGAAGATGGGGAGGAAGGTGCGGACCCGGTGACGTCAGCAGGGGGAATGCTGCCGGACGTTGCCACGTCAGCACCGCTTCAGCCAGAAATTTGGGATGGGAGGGTGATTGGAGGTGAGTGGTGTTTGCGGGAAAGGGGAGGGGAGGGGAGGAGAGTTGGATGGGAGAGGAGATGAGGGGAGGAGAGAGGAGGGGGGGGAGAGTTAAGAAGCGGATGGGACGGGAGGGGGAGGGAAGAGGAGGGGAGGGGAGGGCAGAGGGAGGGAAGACGAGGGGAGCAGAGGGAATTGGGAAGTGGGACGAGGGAAGTGGGAGCAGAGGGGAGGAGGTTGGAATAGGAGGGGAGGGGATATGACAGGAGGGTGGGTTGAGGGCGGGGGAGGGGGAGGGGGAGTTTCATGGCTGGAATAGGAGGGGAGGGGAATAGGAGGGGAATAGGAGGGGAGGGGAATTGACAGGAGGGTGGGTTGAGGGTGGAGGAGGGTGAGTTTCATGGCTATCAAATCCTTACTCCCTCTCAACAGATGCCCCTCCAACAGCTGTTGAGGCATCTCAAACCTTAAGAGTCGTTGCTCATTGCCCTCCCCCTCCCCCCCCCCCCACCTCCACACCTCACCCCCTTCACCAGTCCCAGGTCCATTGTTGTGGCTTTCACGCTTTCAAAAGGTACCATCACCCCCTTATTGCCTGCCTCACTATTTCCATTAAAGTGTGTGAAATCACACAAATTGCCTGCTTGCAAGTTCACATTTTTCTCGCTTCCAAATCACCCGTTTATGTGAGGTTTCACAAAAACAAAAAACATCCGATTTGCCAAATTTCTTGCCTCACCACGTTTGACCCAACCCGGCCTGCTTCTGTTTGAGTTCTGTCTGCAATTAATATCGCCTCTGCAATCGTTCTAGTTGCCATTGATGGGCTGCGCCTCAATGGCAACAATGGTCTAGTCATGTTTTGCGACCCTTTCCTCTTCTTCTCTGTAATCTTTCTTCTTCTTTCTTTCTACTGTTTATTTTCAACTCGGTTTTGCCTCCCTGCAGTCCTTTTTTGTTGGCGCTGATGGGCTGCGCTATGGTCGAGTCATCTCAGGTATGTTACATCTCTCAGGTACGTTACATCTCCCAGGTACGTTACATCTCCCAGGTACGTTACATCTCCCAGGTACGTTACATCTCTCACGTACTTTACATCTCTCAGGTACGTTACATCTCTCAGGTACGTTACATCTCTCAGGTACGTTACATCTCCCAGGTACGTTACACCTCTCAGGTACGTTACACCTCTCAGGTATCAAATGAGCGACACCGTGTTTCTAGCTGCTTCTCTTCCTGCAGCTTTCACGGACGCCGCTTACAATCTGCTCCTCGCGTCCACCTGCTGTCATTGGCGTCGCCTGGCGAAGAACCATGTCGCCACGCTTCTCTTGAAGACAAACCGCGCCGAGATCCTCCAAGGAAACGGCGCGGTTTGTCTTCAAGAGGAGCGTGGCGACGTGGTTCTTCGCCAGGCGACGCCAGCGACGGCAGGTGGTTGCGAGGAGCAGATTGTAAGCGGCGTCCGCGAAAGCTGCAGGAAGAGAAGCAGTTGGAAACACGGTGTCGCTCATTTGGTAACACGGCTCGTATACGTTACACCTGAGCTTAGCAACAAAGAAGTAGAAACAAATGATTCCATCCATAACATACCCTTCGTTGCTATCCTCTCAGAGCCTTCCCCTCCATCCCATCAGGTGGCCCTCTCTTTACAGGCCTCTCCAATGTAATCAC